TATTCTTTATTAATGTTACTCAAACTTTCTGTCTTTGTAAACTGAACAGACATTTCAGAGGCAAGGGCAGCAGCTTGCAGGAGGTAGGATGGTATAAATTATAATCACTCAAATTAGAGGCGTTATTGAAAAACAGGTGTTGAAATGTATCAAAAAGATACTGTTTATGATGAGTTTCTTAATAATGAATGTGAACAGTTAGTGACCGCAGCACTTTTGGAGTATGACAACATTTTGAAAACTCAATGGATTTACATTTACAGAAAGGTATCATAATAAAACCAAGTGGAGTTTATGTGATTCATCCAATTCCAGACCGTCATATGCATCGATTTAAAAGAGATGGCAAGATCTTTTTTCTGCTGTTTTTGGTTTTAAATACCTAATTGGCTTTAAAAGAATGGTGACCAGAGTTTAAAAATTTTTTGCTTTGTAGTAACAGTGTGTGAGACGAAATAAAGTTTTTTAAATATTGAAAAACACGAAAAAATAAAAAACGCATTCATGAGACAATTGTAATCAGAAAACATTGAATGTTTATTTTAGGCTCTAATCATGGGCTACATGTACTGTACAAACGAGAGGTTAATCAAGATTTTTGTGGGCTTGATTTGGAAGTGACAGCTGGAGATTTACTTGAAGCTGAGAATGGTGTTCACGAGGATGTTTTTGTTACTGGACAGCAACTTGCTCGAGAAGGCGACTTAATTGTCAGTTAATATTTAATGTTTGAAGAGATAAAAGAAAGCAGATTTCAATTTCAGACTAATTTTAGGTTTATTTATATGAGCTGTGCTGAGAAAAGATACATTGATTTAGGATGCTTGGGAATATGCAAACGCAAGAAATAGCGAGGATAGTGCTATTGATGAGGATGTTGTGCTTGCGGGACAAAAGCTTCAAATGAACGGAGACCTCACAGTCCGTTAATAAGCAAAAAAAACTAAGACCTAAATTTTCAAAAAGATTGCAAATTCCATATTCATGTGCTTAACTGTAGTGCGTAGCTCTTATTTGCCCACTGCCATTATTTTCATCTAATCATCTTTGCTTGAGTGAAATCCCATGAATTGTTTTAGTTTTGAATCCCCTATGTTATGTGCGATAGCTCCAATCCTCTGTCGATTGGTGTTTGTAGACTGTTCACACCCGCAGTGATGTTGCAACCCTTTGGCCGCTTAAAACACTTACCCAAAATAACAATGTCTCCTGTACTTACGTTGTCCGTTAAATTTTCTAGACTGCTTGCTTCGTTGACGATCGCTGCAGAAGATTCTGAGGGATAGGTTTTTAAGCAGTTATACTTCTGCTTAGTAGGGTTGTCTTCTTAAAAATTACTTCTTTTGAAAAGACTGCAATGACATTTTAATAAAGGACGACAACCGAATTATTTGTTGTCATACGGCCAACTCTTATGCTTTTCCTGTTTGAGAAGTGCGCCGCCAAACAGGTTTACTATTATCCACTACAGTAATAGCATCGGGAAACTTTTTGTTGCACTTTTTCCTCACTTGTTCTAATAAAATTTGAAATTATTGACAACTTAAAAGTAGAACCTACAAACTCTAATTCAGAGTGTAATGATAAAATATGGAACAGTAGGAGATATGAGAGGATGACTGCTTGTTACTTTCATGGTATCTTACAAAACAGAGTTTTTATACAACTAGTTTTTGATCATTGTATAATGCGTTTTTCCATTACTTTGGCAAGACGTCGTAAGTGTTAATTTTATGTACAAATCATTTATTAAATTTTTATAAATTTAAGGGCACGTATATTAAATGTTAAATAAAACTTGTTTTTATTTTACGGTAAATTTATTCCCTGTTTCAAGCATGCAAAAATCTATTAGGTTATTAGGTTCTATTATATAATAAGCTGTTAAAGCAAAAAAAGTGAATGCAAAAAGGTAAAAGAAGTTTCGGAAACACAAAACGAGCTATTTTCAAGTGCCCTTTTGTCTTTCCGCATCGCTTCACTTCCTGCTTTTCAGCCTTACAAGCACTCTATATCGTGAAGAAGGGGTATTGGGGAAGAGTGACAGAAAGGAGGGTGGATTTGGTTATATTTGCTGCAATAAATGACAACCCTACTGCTTAGTTTACAAGATTCTACCCTTACTGCACTGAATATCCAAGTTTTCTCAAATCTGATTGTGTTAGGACCAGTAAGAACAGGCAGATTGTCAACCATATCCCTCGACTGTTTTGCATTTGTCTCTTAGCAGCCATGATACTGTTACCCTTCATTTTTATGATTTGCTTTTGTTTTTACAGCACTATTCTTTTCCAAGCTCACACAGCTATACAGCCATAGAATAACAAGTTTTTAGGTCGAGTTGGCAATATTTGTGGACGAATTACTTTGGAAACATTTTTATTCACAACATGGAACGAATGCGGAGAAAAAGTTACAGGACTATGCATTAACAATGCTTAATAACATACAGATTATGTACTACCAACCATCAGCAGTTCCACAACTTACGTTTCATGTTATACGATTTGAAGTTTTAACGTCACAACCAGTAAGAATCTTAATTTTTTCTTTTCTTCTGTCTGAAAATTTAGTGCTTGAAAAGTTTATTGATTTTTCTCTACAATTAATAAATTTCTATCTTGAATTTTTTCTAAAAACAGCAGCATTTACTGCTGGACATCTGTTTTAAACTTTTTGTAGTGTTTCAAAATAAATTTATATTTGAAGACAAAAGCAATCTTCTAGAGTGCTCTGGCACCCCATTTACATGACAACGGACATGCACAATACTACTTGAAATGTTTTTGTCAATATCAAAAAAATCTAGCAGTACGTGACTGGGATCATGCATTGCTGTTGACCGGGTAAATGTGATAATGATGCTTTTTAGATGAAATGAAAAAATTTCAGTTTTGGACAAATTTTTCAGTTTTAATATTTCGTGATTCGACAAAAGCTTTATAGATATGATATTCATCGAGGCAGCGGGTCTCGTTCAATTAGTGGTATCGCACGGTTAGATGGTATGTGCGATCCATGGAATACTTGCACTCTTGCCGAAGGATTAGATTTTACTTCCGCATTTATTGGGACCCATGAGCTTGGTCATAGGTGAAAACTCTTGCCGTTTTAATATTTGTAATGATTTAAATTAATTTACTATTAAAGGACATCTTTACTGTGAAAAGTTGTTATTTTCAGCTGCAGTAAAACTCTATTTTTGTTTACTAATGCATATTCCAATATTTGCTTTTCATGGTTTAGTGTCGGGATGAGACACGACGAACCGTTTTGTCAGTCGACACACATTATGAGCTCATCACTGGGACCTGGAAAACTTACATGGTCGACATGCAGTCTACGCGATTATCACCTTTTTCTCCAAAGACTTGAGTCAGCAATTTAAAAATTGTCAATAGCGGAAACAATTAATCATTTTGTACTGAATTAATGAAGGCAAAACTTCTTCATGGTTATTAGGCCGTTTGATAATTTACAAAAAAATTACTGATTTTTGATGGAATTAATTGCACGACCAAATTAGAAACTTTTCCTTTTGTAACTGTTAAAAAGTTGGTCTAACATTCTACTTTAATTTAGCATTTCCGGCCGAAATTGTCTGAGGGTTTCAACACTTCCTGAAAAATTGACAATCCGTCCGGATATTAAACCTGGCCAAGTTTATGATGCTGACAGTCAGTGCCGCATGATGCATGGTTCAACTTACAAGCAAGTAAGTTCTATGCTTGCTGGAAATGCAGTTTTCCTCTACGTCTTCTTTATGCAGTTGTAGTCTGTAAAAGAGCCGAAAAAAAGTTGCATCTTACAGTGCATTCTGCTGATTAATCTCTTTTTGTAGAAAACAAAGAAAAATTGTTATTTATTCTGATATTTTTTCATTTAAAGCAGAATGTGTGGAAGTTGTTTCATGCAGGTTGAAGTCATGTCAAAAGGACCTCTAGTAGTTTAGTTTAGCGAAGTGCATTATTTGATACAAGTATTAAAAACGGAGCCATCATGTTCACATTGCACAATTAAGCGATCTTGGCTTTTCTCAGAAGGAAAAAAGAAGGCGAAAAAAGGTGTTAAGTTTCGTTATGTAAGTAAAGTAAGGAAACGTGAAATTGTTTCAGGGAAAACGAAGACAATTTCGCAGTAAACATAAGTCTTCTTTAAAAAATCAAAAGTAATATTCAAGGTGATTTCTTCCTTTTTTTTGTAGTACAACTATCACATAAGTGACATTAGCTGCCGAAGAAATAAAGTATTTTAAAAGAGGTTTTCCGTCATTATGAAGGAAAAAAGAAAATGCAGAATAGGAGCAAAAAAAGAATTAATCTTGTGATTGTCAAATTATTTGAGACAATCAAAGTAGAGAAAATAGCTTTTAAACAATGGTTCTTTTCTACTTTTTCGATGGAGGGAAAGATACCCTTACAACAGTTTATAGAGATTTCTAAACACTGGTAGCGTCAACAACGACGTCAACAATAGATAAAAACCTGAAACACCGTTCTTTGTTGAGGTCCTCACTAACCGGGCAGTTTGAATTGCAGTGATAAATTACTGTTTGAGCAGGAAATATCTTTTTGCAAAAAGAAGTAACTTACTTCAAACCAAATAATTGGCTGATTGAGTGGTTGTCATACGCAGTGATGTACAGTTAAAAAGAAAATAGCAGTGAAAAAAGTTTAAAAACAACAAAATGAAGAGAACCTCTTTTTTTTTTTAAAGATAAAAATTTTTTTGAAAAAAGGATATTCATATAAATAAAATTAATCTTCTGAATAAGAAAACTTTTTTTAGACTTTTTATACGCTTGCTTATTGCCCACATCCTAAGAATACCACTAAAAATAAGAAATTTTGTGACAAATTCTTCGTATAAAAGTACTGAAGTTAATCAAAAAGTTTTGGTTCCTATACAGTTTTTTTCTCTGAATAATAAAACACCGGTATTTTACAGAGTTAGGTCAAAAACTCTTGACATCACTTAAAAACTGCAACAGATTTTACCAAAATTTGAGCTTTGCAGTCACTGCTATAGTAAAAAGACATTTTCTGACCAAATTGTCACGCATTTCGCATAGATTTTACCTAGGGAGACTAACTAAACAACATGGTTTAGGTAAAACCTCGCCGAGATCACTATGATGGCATTTGTTACATGATGTGGTGTGGACAAAATACTTTTGGCAGAATAATAACTTCGCATCCAGCACTGGAAGGTACATTTTGCGGTCCGTCGAAATGGTGCGAACTTGGACGTTGTATACCTTGGCCAGGCAGTAGTGCTACTTCTTTGTCACATCCCAAGGTTGGTTCCTTTTTGCCACCATTCTTTTACCACTCCCTAAGTGATAAAATTATTCTTTAGATAAGTAAAATTTTTCATGAACACTCTAAATGCATGCAAAATATTAAAAATATGAGAAAAAGCACAACAGTTTCATTTCTTTAGTAAAAACAACGTATTTTCAGCGTGTGGACGGTCAGTGGTCAAGCTGGAGTGAACCGTCGTGTCGTGATTGCTCTTGTTCTGATCTGATTGGAAGCATTGGTATTGTGGTCTCTTCCCGCTCTTGTACAAATCCGGCACCTGCAAATGGTGGTTTTCAGTGCATAGGCGCAAGTAATCGGGCTCTCGTCTGCAATCTACATTGTTCTTCACAAGTTCAAACTGTAGATCAGGTGCTTAAAAAGAAAATTTTGGCAGCTTAAAAGTTTCTTATAGGGTTTTGAAGAAACATTTTAAAGTTTCTAAATACATTTCTTGACTTATTTTTGTTTACCACTTGCAAATTTAGTACATCAATCAAATATGTGAACAGCACCGACGGTTGAGAAGCGATCCGGAATTAACTGGCACCGGTACTCAAATGACTAGATATCCACAAAGGGCTTGCAAGGTTTATTTTGAGAAGAAAAGAAACAGAAAATAAAGAGAGCTTAATTTTTTTACACATAGATACTATTGTATTTTCCAGGTATTTTGTGATGTTAATGGCCGAACCGGCAGAAACTTCAGATTTTTTGGTGACAATTTGCCAAACGGTGCTAACTGTGGGCCGAACGCTTACTGTTTGGACGGCGAATGTATAGTTAGTATTTTTGGTCTTTCATAAGTTATACTAGCCAGGAAATTTGATAGACGGAAAGATAAAGAAAAATTCATGATCAATTGTTCTGATACGCTACAAATCGCTTGAAAAACCTTGTTTAATAGCACTGCCATGTTTAGGTGTAGTGGTTGTAAATTAGTGGAAAAAACCAAAAAAATTAATTACTTTTTTAAAAATGTCTTCGCAACAGAGAGAAGAAAAAAAAAGAAAACAAGCACTGCACATATTTTTTGTTGTATTTCGTTACATAGGTCTATCTGTTGCTAGAAACTGGTAAATTTCTAGAAGAGTGGCCATCCGGGAATTTTACTGTCAGCTGTGTAAAATTCTGGGCCAAAGCAACTGTTTCACATAAACGGCTTTAAGACTTTGCCGGAAAATAGTGCGATTAAACAAAGACAAAGATATTGTTATTATTACAGCACTGCACAAAATCTCACTTTACCTGTCTTATTAGAAAATACTGTACAAAAGATTTTAAGGACAAAAGTTATAATACTTTTGCAAGAATTTTGAAACGTATGACATTTTTTCTTTCAGTTATAGAAAATAAATAGTTACCTATGAAAGATTACCTTACACTTATGCTTCTAATCAAATTTTAATAATGTCCTAAAAAATTGAAAAAAAACTTGACTTTCTGGCAATTGTGACAAGAGAGGAATAAAACTTGGCAACTGATTATGGTTACTACTCGATATGGCAGGTTATAAGTGTTGGTTTGTTTCAGCAACTTTCTTGTGAAAACTACGCCTTAATCACTCGCGACGTTGGTTGCCCAACGAAACGGTGCCCGCTAAACAACAGTCCTGCAGCAACTGGCCAGTGGTCGGTTTGGTCAACATGGTCTGCTTGCTCACAGACTTGTGGTGGCGGCATCGCTCAACGGTTGGTGTTTGAAGATGATAAGTGAAGAAAATTTTAGGCAGAAAGCAGTCATTCGGTTTTTATCAGATTGAAAGTCGTAACTTTAGCGGAACAACCACTCAACTGCTTCTAAAGTTTTTTTTTTCTTTGGTATACGTCCTCCTAATCATTATTTTCACTAAATGCACCCATTTTCTTTCAATTTCTTTACCTTTCCTAGGCTAGGCGTCTGTAAAGTTATCACATTTTGGTTTAGCGTGGTTTCTTACTGTACAATGAACGCTATTCTGCCCCGGTTTTGGCTATAGTGAAGCGGTAGTTCAGAAATTAGGCATAACGCAAATTGCCTTAGGAAGTGTAACAAACAGCGGTAGAAGAAACAATAAAATTTAATTGTTTTTTAATGTTGCAATTGCAGAATGGGAAAGAAGATTGTAAAATTATTTGCAAAAACAAAAATGAAAAAATGAAGTTATATGAAGTATACAAACTAAATAAAATTTGAAATCATAAAAAACCGGAAATTTGGAGTAATTTTTCAAATGGACACAAAAGATCTCTAAAAAAACATGTAAAGAGATGGTGTCAAGATGGTAGTCAAATCACCATTCTTTTTAACGCTGGCCAGAGGGACTCAAAATAATTGAGCCTTCTTCTATTTTGTATTTTCACCCAAGTAAAATTTAAAAAATTTTTCAAGTTCAAAGGGCAGTAATTTATGACTTTAATCTTTGTAATTGTAGTACTGCTGTAAGAAACTATAGAAGAAGTAAAATCAGGTAAAAATTCTACTGTTAATCCAATTTCCTCTGTTGTTTATCTTTGTGCTTTTTTTTATAGTTTACTGGTTTCTAGGTTCAAAATGAGAAAACATAATTTTAGACTTTGCTTTACGTTTCTGACAAATATTTTAACTGTACAAAGATATAGTTAAAAAGTGATAATAGGTATGAATGCTGTTACAGTTTCCTCATAAAGAATTGTTGCTGATTGTTGGTACTGATTCTATCTTAGTTTATTTAAAAATTCAAACTACAGAAGCAAAGGGAAGAGGTGAGGGAGAAGGTGGATACGCGAAGTGATAACAAATGATTAAATGTTAAAAGAAAGATTATTTAGCTGTCATAGGTCGCACTGAAAGCAGTATAACAAAAAATTTGTTTAATTAACTCGTTCAAAAAAATTATTCTTTAGTTTTTTAAAAGAACTTTTTTTAATGAAATCAGGGCTTGTCTTTACAAAATCTTGCTTTTAAGAGATCGACAGTGCGAAAATGGAAAAACTTGTGAAGGTTCATCTACTGAAAGTAAAAGTTGCAACGAAAATCTGTGTCCACAAACATCTATGTCGGGTAGCTGGGGAGAATGGACAACGTGGAACCAGTGTTCAGTTACTTGCGGTAAAGGTTCACAAGCACGGTATAGACGGTGTAATGGGAGTGGACGTTGTAACGGTAAATAAATTGTACAAGAAGCAAGAACTAGTTTAGAACTATTAGGAATTGGTAGCTATTTTAGGCAACACAATGCAAGTTCGACAGTGTGATATGGGTATCTGTAATGTCGGTGTAGTTGGGCTGTGGGGTAAATGGACGGAATGGTCTGCTTGTTCTGCAAGCTGTGGACCCGGAATTAGAATCAGAAACCGTTTCTGCACAAAAGTAGATTATATAAAGCTAGTCGTATATATGTATACCATTTATTTTCTACGCTTGGTAACACAGTAAATTAATTGTTATATTCAGGAACCGTGCGATGGATCTGGCCAATCTCGCATGTCTTGTGATCTAGGTCCGTGTGGAAGCAATATTGGTCACTGGTTAGAATGGGGACCTTGGTCTGAGTGTACTCGTCCTTGCGGTACTGGAGCTCGGGCAAGAAGCCGGTCTTGCTTCGTTACTTTGTTTCTGTAGTAAAGTTGAAGACAGTAAAATAGCTGTATTTTTAAAATCAGTTTTGCGATAATGAAAAAATGCTTTGAGGTTTAGGTCTTGCTCAAAAATTGGCTGTATCGGTAGCAGAGTAGAGCAAGAAACGTGTAATACACAAACATGCAACTACGCAGACGCCATGTGGTCTGGCTGGTCCAGTTGGGGATCATGTTCAGTATCTTGTGGCATAGGAGAACAGCGCCGTACAAGACATTGTCAGCATGGTGATTGTCAGGGTCCCTCGACAGATACAGAACCTTGTGACCAAGGAGAATGTATTAATGCTGAGGCAACTTGGGGGGGTAAAATTTTTTTTTGAAAACTTACTAGTGAATTATTTGCAAATGGCTGACCTCTTCTAAACTAATGAAGTTTTGTAATAGAGGCTTTAATATTACGCAAGAAAGTGACTTTGTTATCCTTTAGGCTGGGGGTACTGGTCAGTATGCAGTGAAACATGTGGGCGCGGAACACGGAAACGAGTTCGTAAATGCTACGGTAACGGTCGATGTAAGGGGCATGAATACGAACGTGAAGAGTGTAACGAACGACGTTGCTAGGCACTGTTGACGTTAAAGTGAAAAAGCCGCTGATAATAAACCCGGGTTTTATTCCATTTTTAATAAAATGGGTGCCTAGACAACAGCTCTGATTTCTTTTATTGTGTTGCACCATTAACTATGTTGTTTTCCTAAAAATTTTTCAAAATAACTTTTTAACGAACAGTTCCTTGGAATTATTTTGAGATTTGCGAATAATATGAGGAGTAAGGAAAATTATTCCTGTAAGACGTCTGTGTAAAAAAACATTGTCACCGAGTTTTAGAAAAAATAATAAGTTAAACTGTTTTTATAAATTAAAGCTACGATTAATCTTCAGCTTAGTAAACGTTGATTGTATTTTTCTGGTGAATGTGATTAATATTATTACAAGTAATACAGCTATTAATATCTATTGTTATTTTTGAATTTTCATTTTTTATTCAGAACTATTAAAGATCTATGTTTGAATAACGTATTTTGAAAAATCTATATGTAAATAGGTCTTGCACTGTCACGAAAAAGGTATTTGCGCAGCAAAAAGTTTGGTGATTTTCTTGAAAAATAACCTCAACAGTTGTATTTTGTTTTTAAATACCGCTTTTCGACATAGAAAAGGAAAGAAATAAGTTTATCTTTGTTGAGAACAAGGTTTTTAATACTTGTCTGTTAATCTGCACATGCAAATGAATTACTGCTGCTCATTTACTTTAAATAATTTAATAATTTTTTTGTTTTGTTTTTAATATCTCCCATGCGGGTTTTGTATCTGTATTATCTGCGAAATTCACGCACAGCTTTTTTGTGTTATATACAGCGCGGAACAATAACCGATAATGAATAAATAATTATTTTTTTGACGTTTGACTTTGTAACCTTTGTCTTTAAGTAGATATCTGATGACTATGCCTTAAACGACAACAGTCAAATGACAAAACTTGGTGACTGGTTTATCATACTGATATCTACGACGTACTGTGTGACTAATTGATTTTTAAATTTTAATTAACTTTTTATGGATTTATTAGAATTATAATCTGTTTTCTTTCTAAATGAAGAAGGATATTTCAACCTTTTAGAAGTTGTTTTTTTGCGATGTATAAATGCTTCTCTAAAAAAGTGTTACGTTTAAAAAAGTTTGCTGTTCTGATTTAAGGTTGAATAAAATGCATTATGTGTAGAAATGCCAAACAACGATTAGCAATTAATTTATGTTGATTTTCCGCTATCACAACTGCATAACTTGATACCACCCAAGATCAGTTGCTACCGGAGTTGTTCCACAGAAGTTTGGCTAAAAATTCTACCAAAATTTGATACTTTCACATTACTGTTTCTTTTTTCTTTTTGTGCCTTTATTTCACTAACACCAAAGATTTTAAAACAGAACAGAAGTTAGTTTTTTGGTTGTAAAATCTGTTCATGAAGAAGGAATATAACAATAGCACGCAAATAAAGCTTTACTTTTATTCCAGCAGCAATTATAAAAAAAAACATCTTTTAAGACATCGTAAGTGTACTATAAAACTTAGACATCAGTGTTCTCGTTGCTGCCTCACTACTTATCGCTGCAGTGGAATATATTCTAAGTGTTCCTGAAATCAAAATGGTAAAAAATAAAAAAAATTTCTTTTTGCTCTAATTTTACAATAAAGTTGTTTTCCAATATTCTACCATAAGCTTAAAGCAATGCTTTGAAAAATTAGAGCTTTACTAAAAATGATTTAATTTATGTCTGAGATTTTACCTATTTCTTCTAATTTTTTTAGTTTTGAATGATTGTTATTTTAATTTTTTATTTTTTTTTTGGAGTGATTTAGTCTTCCTCTGTCGTGCATTGATTTATATTAATTTTCGAGCGTGTATTTTGTATAACCAAGTTTTGCTCTCGTAAGCCCTATCTGGTAGCAACACCCAAAAATTTGACAGTTTGATTTTTTTTATAAAAAATTCTATTCACATGGTACTTCATTGGGCTGCAATCTAGATAGAACACACGCCAAGCCCAACTATACCATTACTGCATTATCACTATTTTTCACAGCGTTTTTTTTTACAAGTTCACTACAAGTACTACAAAGTAAACTTATTGAAGGAAAGCTGTAGCTGTTTCTAGCTTTAACAGAGTTGTTGTGTTATATCAGATTAAAAGTCGCAAAGAGCACATCTCACTGTTTGCTCCTCGTAAAATTGTGAAGTAATGTAAAGTATTTATAACGTATTTTGTAAGATCCATTTTCCGCTGTTTTGACAGCATATTTTGCCAAGAGGTTTGCCATATTGACTTCACAATAAACTACTGAAAACCAACGATCTAATGCTCAACCATTGCGATTAAAGTATCATAACTTGTAGCACGATTGAAAAAGGGCTGAAGGTGATGTTACTTATAGAGGTATTTATTAACAAACCATGGGCAAAGCGCCATTTTTAACTTTGTTATTCAAGTGCGTTTGTAAATCTTTTATCGCGAACTTTGCGTTACTGAGCTGACCAATTATTAGTCTCATATCTGTCTAAAGTCCGTCTAAATCTTGTGTCACAAATAATGAGTTTTTGGCACTGTTTTGCTTTCGCAGATCAAAAATAATTTTGTCTAATACACCAATTACTAACATCCACATTTACGTGCTATTGCTCGTACTTTAGTAAGATTAGGGCCGCACTTAAGGTTAGTTTATATAGGCAATTTTTGCAGTCTGCGACTTACTGAATTTTAAAAATGATTAACGTTTTGCTCTTTACATTTTTTTCGTTGGCACTCCATTTATGCTTTTGTTCTTTTGTTTGCTGCTTGCCAATTTTGAGTCATAGACAAATTTCATGATTTAGCGTCAAAAGCTATTTAAAGTGCAAAGAGCCGAATGTGATTTTGAACAGTACAGAAAAATTAAATTAAACTGTTCCTTTTCATATCTCATTCTTTAACGTGTTTTCAAGCTTAGGATCTGCTCTCCCACCAATGTTATTGCTTATAAAGTAACTTACTCTCTTTTGATATATCTTTTTGATAGTTGTTATAGACACAGTGAAGTGCGTGATTCTGCGTTCCTTCGTACGAGTTAAGCAAATATTGGAAAAAAGCTGCCAACGGCTTTGGTGAAGTTGAGCAGCAATTTTGAAAATTTTTTAGTAACACTTTTTTTATCTGGAGGAAGCTGCCAATTGAAGTGCTTAAAAAATTGTGCGGCAAATTTACCAATGAGACCAAAACAAAATGTGCAGTTCAAGCACGATGCTTTTTTTCAGAAATAAAAATGCAAAAATGTCACCCGATTTTCTACCTTCTGGAACGTATAAAATTATTAGTAGTAATTTTAGTCTGAGTAGCCTGGTTAAATTAGCCTGGCTCTCAGAACGTTCTATTGACTGCTCCTTTAGTCAAAATCGATTTCACAGACAAACAAAAATTGACCTAGAATTATATCCGCATCAAGCTTCGTCTTCAAAAAATTGAGATTGCTTCAACAGACACACATCGCATTTTAATGGAATATTAGCATTGGGCTTGAAATAAAAATACTTGCAGATTTTCGTATTCCGGCAGTATTAGCAGCTGTTGTTGTTGTTGCCGTTCTTGTAATTATCGCTACTTAGCTTCAAATCAAACTTTGAATAACTTGAGGACAGGGGATAATTATTCCACTTGCCTACGTGATTAACATAACTAGCTGCAGTATTTCGTAAGAAAATTTTTTCCCAAATATTTTTATTAAGAAAATGTTATGACTAAAATTTTTAAAGAAGTTTTTATTGGTTTTGCTTTAACATGGACTGGTTGCACTTGAATTCCAAAAATGCAGACTGATTAAACATACTAAAACCAGCTCTCATTGTTTAGTAGTGCTTAGCCAGACCAATACTTGAGTTTGTGTTACAGTTGGCTATCAAACGGCCGGAGAACCTTACCAATACTTTCACCATCAAGAAATTATTGGTGGTAAAACATACTTAAGACATTTCGCACCTTGTTGGAGTGAAGCATAGAAACTGCGCTTCTTTTTATCACCACTTTACAGAGCATTCTAAAAATGCAGTTTTTGGGAACATTAGAGTGAAAATTGCCACCAAACTGGCGTTTTACAGCTGGAAACAAAGCAACCAGAACCGCGAGAAAAATGTACAGCATAAACTGCTGTTGAGCGCTGTTAGAAACAACAACTCTCAGTTTTTCAGAACGATGAGGGATTTTATATTTGAAGAAGATAAAGCATGTTTTTATTGGCTTTCAAAAACCAAATTATAGAAATATTTGCAAATTCTAAAAAAATGTAGCATAATTTGACTTTGCTGGCTCTTCTGGTCGTCTTATCTTTACATGAGAAGCAGTAAAGGTCTTTGAGACAAAGAGAAGCAGCTGCGTGACTGTCAGATGTCATCGTGAGGATAAGTTTATGAGCCATCATTATAACAATTAGTTGGGTGATTCCCTATATTGCAGATTGGATCATAAATGCAGAATACAATTAGCAAAACTCAACTATTTTTAAGGGAGAGGAAGGCTACACCACATTTTTACAATTTTTTCTTCTATTTATGTTTTTCTAAAAGCATGTCGTGGCTGCTGGAAAGTTTTCTAAAATTGAAAATCGGGCTTCTAAACTCTCTTCCTGACGTCCAAAATAACCCGGTTTTCTTAAACGTTTACTATAATTGTAACTGGCTTTTGTAATTTACAATATCAACCAATAACTGTTTCTTTTTTTCTGCAAATCGACCTGAAACGTTATTTAATCTTCAATCTATGGAAAAAATTTAACTGTTTTGCTTTAGCTGCTGGGGAACATTTACTGATAACTTTTTAGAAAGCATAGCAGCAGTGAAAAGTTAGGAGACAGATGCTTCTTCAATTAAGCATGTAACGTAAGTTTCTAATTGGAAAACCTGAACTATTTTGTTTAGTCTTAAAAACGTATAAAAAGCTGTCTGTGTAAAAGAGCACCTGCATTCAAAACGTGAAAAACGACCAGAAAAAGCGTGGTGGTCGTAACAAAATATTACGTCGAACGAGTTATTCCCGT